TGGGCCAGATGTTGGCAGCGCAAGCCGCAGCGACTGCCTCTGCCTCGGCCCAGTACTGGCAACCTGCGGCTGCTTCGGCCAGCAGCGGCCCGTCGTGGGGCGGGCGGTCAGAAAGCTCCAAGTGGACACCTATGTGTCGCGACTGCGGTAAGAACCAGCCAGGAGCGTTTTGCCAACTCGGCCTCTGCAGACCCTGTTGCAGCAGCCAGTGGACGCCGTGCGAGCAGCACGGCGCCTGGCGCTGACTGAGACAACGTGGCCTGCGGTCCGAAAAAAAGGCGGGTGCGCAGGCTGGGCTCAGGGAAGATGTCTAGGATAATAAATAGGCCTGAAGTTTCCTTAACGCAGATTTCCTAGTCCTATTAAATTAGTTTGCCAGCTGTTTATTTAACTAAACAAAAGGATGGGTTGCTTGTTTTGTCAGATCAGTTTCAGTCTGCTTGCTTCTAAGTCTTCGGTGTGGTTTAAAATTTAAGATTTAAGACTATGTAAGTCAGAAAGTAAGTATGTAAGCGCGCCCTCAACACCCTCAATACTAAAATATTAATAATAGATATAGATAATAATAATGAGAGGTTAGATTTCCCACACTCTCGAAAGATATTGCCAGGCTCAAGGTTCCAAAAGCTCTGCACTAGACATACTTGAAATGGTTCTATAACATAGAATAATAACAAAATAGTAAGCATGCAAAAAAATTGGCCGCCTGCCGCTGCAAGACGAGGCTCAAACAAAACTTTGTGTCAGTGTAAGCTGTTTGACGGCTGCTTCGGCCGTTTAGGCTGCTTCGGCCTCTCAGGCTGCTTCGGCCTCAGGCTGGTTCGGCTTGAGTGACCTTGGCTGCTTCGGCCATGGGTAAAAAGCCACAAGAGAAGAAGGCTAAAGTCAGCCCGGCAGGGGCGGATCTGGCTCTTGTAGATCAAAGCGCAGGCAATGAATGCACAGACCACCTCTGCCGCATTCACGAGGCGCTCAAGACCATTCGAGGCCACAGCGTCTTCGATGGAATAGATGGCGCTCGGCCGCTAAGCATCAGCCAGGGCGGCCACCAGACTCCTTTCGACAAAAAGGACGCCGTTTCGGCGCTGTCAAAGGGCGAGGGCGCCTTCTACCTGTGCGGCGGCAACTTCATGTGGGCAGACCAGATCTGGCTGGCGAATCACCGAGCGCCGATCAATTCGGGCCAGGTGCAAGACATCCAGAAGAACTTCTTGCCTGCCCTGTCGCCGCCGAAGGCGTTCTCTTTCACAGTCACGTGGCTGTGGAGACGGCCGATGAGGCGGGCTCTGAGACCCGAGGCTTCCAACGCCTCTCGCCGCCTGAGCCCGCGCACGCGCTCTTGTTTTCCGTGGCTGAAGCAGTGAAAAAAGGCGCGGACGCCGGAGTGCTTAAAGCCTGGAAGCACCTGCTGCTCACGACCAGCTTTCGCTTCGAGGTCGTGCCAGTGGGTGAGCCCCGGTACTGGCGCGCAGCAAACTTGCGCGAGGAGGCGGTCAACAAAGGGCTCATGGTCACCATGACCATCCGCCAGCGCATCTACGACATTGCTGGCTTCAAAGCAGCAAAGGATGCTCAGCGTGACTCGCCCCTCACTGCTGACCAAGTTGCCAAGATGTACGAAAAGCTGAAGCTGAACGCTAAAGCTGAGCCAATCACAAAGAGCTTCGTTGAGTGCGCTGTGAACGTGCACAAGAAGTTGTGTTGCGTGGACGCAACGAGAGAAACTTGCTGGCTTGGTGCGACCGCGCGTTTCTGTACAAGAATCCGTGGGATTCGGTCTACACGCTCAACTCCCTGTGCGACCGAGCTCCCGGCGCG